GTGGTCCTGGGTCTATTTGTATGAACCTGAACACATCTGGGTAGCACCCGAATGCAAGCTATGGGGTAACTTTTCGAGATATAACATGGGGAAAGATCCAAAGTCATGTGAAAACATTCAACAACGAAGAGACGCTGATAGGCCACACTTGGTGTTATGCAATCAGCTGTATCTGTATCAAATGAGTAACTCAAGGCATTTTCACCTGGAGCAACCTCGTGGATCCGAGATGATCATGCAGGCTGAGCTCAACGATGTTCGCTTGGGAACGCTGCCATCAACGTTTGATATGTGCCAAGTTGGGAAGCTTAGATTACCAGGAACAAACCAGTTTCTTCAGAAACGGACACAGGTGTTCACATCATGTCGAATGGTTTTTGAAACGCTTCATGATCACATGTGCCATGGAAACCATGATCATGCCCACATTAAAGGACAGTTCAAACACTTGGGAAAATGGCGAAACATATCCTCGTATGCACAAACATACACCACACACTTTGCGCGCCGAGTGGTTGAAGTTTTGTGGTGGGAATGTGAACACCCTGAAGTACCTTTGATTCTGGGGGAACTAGTTCTAGGACTGGATGCCCATGAAAGACCCGAAATGGCACAAGAGTCTCTGCAGCTGAAGCGGCGTCGTGTAGAGCTGAAACAACCAGAGACATCCTTGTATGGGAAGGCACCATCTTGGAAGGATATTTTCCGAACTGTTGGCTATTCCACTCCTAGGGTTGGGAATGCCTGTTTTCAGGGTTCTGGTGATATGGTTGTCAAGTTGGTCCAACAGGTGGTGCCGGACATCAAGGTTGAATTGGTTGTTGCTTGTCGCGGAACGGATCGTCACAGGATCCAACCAGCCGATGTGTTTCCCGAAGTTTTGCCATGGAGGAAGACAGTAGTGGTTGAGAGGGGTACTGGGGAAGTAAAAGATTTGGGGCCCCCTGAAAACTGGACAGGGTTGTCACGCATGAGACAAATTCGATCGACTGGACCCGCCAAATTATCATTGTCCATTTTTGGCCGGAGAGATGATATAAATGAGCCATTTGGGGCCATATTTAAGCAAGCCGGCCGTGATGAGAAGTCAGAGGCTGAAATGTCTCTGCCAGTTCCCGATACTTCTCCAATGGACGTGAAAGAGCCAGGAACTGAAAGTTCCGTGGTGCAGGCTCCGGAGAGTGTTCAACCGCTCGGTGTCGATCCGAAACCACCAAATGCGGATCAGGTGATGGATCATCCACGGTCAGAAAGATTCATGGAGGAATGGGCTCCAAAGATCACCACCAAATCGGGACCTGCATTTTTGCGTTTGGGAGCAGGGGAGAGGGCTGAACTTAGGAGGGTCCATAACAATTTGGGACACCCAGACCCCCAAAAGATGGTAAAGTTTCTGACCGAACGTGGAGCCAAACCTGAGGTTATAGCTGGGGCACGGGATATGTGCTGTGATACATGTGTAGAAACTCAATCCCGACCCAAGAAATCACAACCTGGTAGGATTCACGATGATCTTGATTTCAACGATGTTGTGGGAGCTGATGGGGCTTATTGGACAAATTCCTCGGGAAAGACCTTTCATTTCATGCATTTCATTGATGAATCAACCTTGTACCATGTCGGGAACTTGAGTGCTCGTAAAGTAGAAGATCAAATCAAAACTTTCCTCAATAGCTGGGTTCAATGGGCTGGTCCTTGTAAGACACTTTACTTGGACCCTGCTGGGGAATATGTCAATGATGCCTGGGCTGCAATGTTGCAAGGTGAGGGCATCCGAGTTTCAATGACGGCCGCAGAATCTCATTGGCAGAATGGGAGGGCCGAAGTTCACGGTAGGATAGTCAAGGACATGTTGTCTCGGATGGAGAAGGAGCGGCCCATTGAGACAGCCGATGAATTCACCCAATGCCTTCGCCAAGCTTTTGCAGCCAAGAACTCTCTTAGCCGTGTGCATGGGTTCACTCCCGAGCAATGTCTCTTGGGAAAGAGCCGCCATCTGCCAGGCTCGTTAGTCTCCGATGCGGAGGCTGGGAGCCACTGTCTTGCTGAGAGCACTCTGCCGGAAGGGATCCGTTTCAAAGAGAACCTGCTGCGCAGGGAACAGGCCCGAAAAGCCTTTGTACAGGCGGACAACGACTCAGCCTTTCGTCGGGCTTTGCTCAGACAAAGCCGTCCGGGAAGGATAGAATATGAAGCTGGGGATTGGGTGCTGTATTGGCGTAGTTCTAGGGGCAACAACCGCCTTGAGAGGGGAAGGTGGCATGGGCCCGCCCAGGTAATAGCCAATCAGAATCCTCGTGTTGTTTGGTTGAGCCATCTCGGACGGATAATTCGAGCAAGTCCTGAGCAGTTGCGGCCAGCGTCACTTCGTGAGTTTGCCCACTTGCCACGAGACACGGAAGGAAGTGTGATTGATGAGAAACCACAGGGAAGGGGGTATGTCGAGTTGGAGGGTGTTCCTGAAGCTGTTGATTTTGCACCTGGTCCAGTGGAAAGAGGGGCAGCGTCAGAATTCTCATATACTCCCACCACTCCTCTTGAAAGTCAGCCGGAAAGGGAACAATTCCCTCAAGATACAAGTGGGAGTGGTTTTGATGAAAGGAGTGATCCCATGGAATCTGAAATGGAAGTTCCCGAAAGTAACCCTGGAAGCCCTGAAGAAGTCCAAGGAAATGATGGTAGGTTTGTACCAATTCCTGATGATGGGGATGAGGAATCTTGGTTCGGGGATGATTGTGGGGATTTCCGGAAAAATGATGTTCTTTGGGAAGTTGAATTGGTGGATCATGTATACGAATCTGAAACAGCGGCGTTTTTCTGCAGCGAGCCCTCTGCCTTTGAGGAAATCTGCTTGGCGACCAACGAAAGAAAGAAGCGTGTTGAACTAGATTATCGTAGGATGACTCCTCATGATCAAAAGCTGTTTGATGCTGCCAAGCAAAAGGAAGTCAAGGCATGGCTGGATCACGGTACCGTGAAGAAGCTGACAAAGGGGTCTTTAAAGCCAGAGCAAGTGATGCGGTGTCGTTGGCTGTTAACTTGGAAGGACCCCCTACCTGGAATGACAGAAAAGAGGGCCAAAGCAAGGTTGGTCATCCTGGGTTTTGAAGACCCTGGAGTGGGGATTGTGCCCAACGATGCGCCGACACTGTCCAAAGATGCCCGACAGCTTCTGCTGCAAAAAGCAGCGAGTCGCCGATGGACACTGATAAATTTTGACATCTCCACGGCGTTTCTTAAAGGTGCCGGTGATGGTCGGCCGCTAGGAATCCATGCTCCACCAGAGATCCGGCATGCCTTAAAGATGAAAGAAGGTGATCAGTGCAGTTTAGAAGGAGGCGCCTATGGGCGCGTGGATGCACCATTTTTGTGGTACCAAGCCCTAAGGGCAACACTGGAGTCTCTGGGATTCATAGCATGTCCATTTGATGGATGCCTCTTCAGTTTGGTCACACCGGGACCCAAAGGAGAACCAAGGGTAAGGGGAGTTCTGGGTATTCATGTGGATGATGGTATTGGGGCTGGGGATTCTTATTTTGAGTCGGTTATCCAAAAACTGAGGGGCATCTATGATTTTGGGGCATATTATGAAAAGGAGTTTACTTTCTGCGGTGTCCACTACAAACAATGGGATGACAGCTCCATAGAAATGAATCAGGTTGACTATATTCAGAAGATTGAGCCAATTGATGTTGGAAGGTCTCGTAGGTCTCAGCTAGAAGCGGATGTCACAGAAATGGAGCGACAACATCTCAGGAGACTGTGCGGCAGTCTTCAATATGCCGCAGTGCACACCCGGCCGGACCTGTCGGCTAAAACAGGAATGCTCCAATCCATGGTGACAAAGGCGAAGGTAAAGCATTTGCTGGAAGCCAATAGAGTTTTGATGGAGGGTAAGAAACATCCAGTTTGTTTGATGATGGTTCCCATCCAAGAAGAGTTGGTTGCCTTTTGTGCTTTCAGCGATGCGTCCTTCTCCAGTTCAAAAGACTTGTCCTCCCGCCAGGGAACGCTGATTTTTGCAACCGATGTCAATTTGGCTCGGAATCAGCGGACAGTAGTGTGTCCGGTTGCCTGGAGCTCAAGAAGAATACCCAGGGTAGTCACCTCCACTTTGAGTGCAGAGTCAATTGCTTTGAGTTCATCTCTGGACCGACTAGGGTTTATCAGGGTATGTTGGGAATGGCTGAAAAATCCATCCATTGACTGGTCTGATCCGAGTCAACTTTTGAAAGGTGCGACTTTAGCCAGTACAGTGACTGATTGCAAGAGCGTGTACGACATAGCAACGAAGAACGCAGTCCCAACATGCGCCGAGTACAGGACCACCCTAGAATGCTTATTAATTCGAGAGCGTTTGCAAGAAAACGTGGCGATGCGTTGGATAAGTACTCAGGCCATGCTCGCTGATTGTTTGACCAAGAGTATGGATGCAAGCATGTTGAGGGAATGCTTACAGTCGGGTCAGTATACTCTGTTTGATGAAGGTGAAAGCTTGCGCCTGAGAGCTTCCAAGCGAGAGAAACTTCAATGGCTACGTGAGGGATTTAAGGACAAGGGCATGGATGAGAGTAAAGATGAACAAAGTTCTTAAAATTTTGGATTTTGATGAGTGTGATTTTCCGAACACTTCTCATCCATGCTGAACCAAAAGGGGCCATACAGTTTTGCTGCATCTCGCCGTCCGCTCGCCCATCCTTTTGTCTTCAACATCTATCCACCAACAGAGGTGGGTGGGTGAGGATCGAGTCACAGGCAGTGCTACGGAAAAGCCAGGGGCTATTCAGTGTTGGGGACAACACAGGCAGGAGTCACAGGGTGCTTCATTGGTGTGGGATAGGAAATCTCCCCAGTAGATTCGCACTATATATATAACTATATATATATAACTATATAAATGCTTGTATATTTGTATATTTGTATATTATTTATACTAACATGGTTCACCAGTTTCCACCACCCAAAAGCTGACCATCATTTAAGCCGTCGTAATTCTCGTCCTCGGAGATGGTCGTGGAAAGAGAACTCCTCTGCTTGTTCAGGGATGACTTGTCCTGACTGCGAGTCTGTGGATAAATCCGCTGGCTGGAACATCACTAGCTGGTTGGTGGTTGACCTACCGTCTGAAAAATATGAGTTCGTCAAATGGGATTATTGTTCCCAACATATAGAAAAATAAAAAAATGTTCCAAACCAACAAGCTATAACAGATGATGTTCCCAGCTATAAAGCTTCATGTGTGGGGGATCATGGGAGTTGTTTTCCTTATTTTGGAGCGGGAATTACCCTCTGGCAATAGCGCAAACATCTACACATGGCTAGTTTTGTCCATGGTTATCTTGGCGGATCACCTCCGATCATCGTTCACATGTGCTGGAAAATTTCTCTTCATAGTTGACTTTCCCCAGCTGTTTCCCATCATCTTTGATTCCCAAAGGCCGGAGAACGGCTCATACATGTTTTTAAGGGGGGTTGTTGCAAGTCTGTGACTGTGGGCATCAATTTATTAACCATTTAACATATATATATATATGATATGATACGATAAGAATACATTAATAATTACAAATAGAATCAATATATTATAATATGATATTAACCATTCATGCTCATCTGTGTTAATACAAGTATCACCACCTCACTGGGTGAGAATTCCAGTCCCACAGAATGCAGGACAGGGCTGGGCTTCACCCAGAATCTGAAAAAAATGTCTGATTAATGCCCTATTTGCGTAGATGCATATTCATATACAATGTATATATATATACATAAATACATATACACGTGCATACATAGACATAAATACATATTCAAATATGCCGATTGGATTGTTCATTTGTTTCCTTCGTTCCTTTGTTTGTTTGTTTGTTTCCTTGCTTGTTTCCGCCTTCTATATATTCTCTGTTCATTTTGTTAGTTCGTGCGTTCGTTCGTTCCTTCCTTCCTTTCGTTCCTTCTTTGTTTATGCTGTTATTTTTGTTTATTTTCCTTTTTGTTCTTTATGTGCCGTTCTTTCTTTTTTCTTCTTTCTGTTTGTTTCTTTTGCTTCTTTGTGTCTTCTTTGTTTGCTTGTCGCTTGATTGATTGGTTGATTCACTCGTTGATTGATCAATTGATTCTTTGATTCTTTGTTCATTTGTTGGTGTGTTTGTGTGATCGTGTGATCGCGTGTTTGTTTGTTCGTTTATTCGTTGATTCGATTATTTGTATTTTTGTATGTCTGTCTGTCTGTCTGTCAGTCCGTCGGTCTGTCCGTCTGTCTGAATGCATGCATACATGAACAGAGTTGCTCCAAACACACCAGGTACAAGGGGGGTAAATTGGTTAAATATAGGAGCAAAATATCCAATACACCCCCGTTGTGGCTATTCTTTGCGATGGGTTGGAGCAACCCTGATCCACTCACTCACCAAGCAGGTCACGGTCGAGACGGAACTGCCCTGCTTGTAGAGCTGGGCTTCGCCCGCCTAGGTAAAACCCAAGGTTGCTACCCCATTCGAAGTAAAAATGGTGAAATTCTGTGGGTCTGTGGTAAAATAGGAGTAAAATAGTGACGATAAGATTACTATAAGTACTTTTACGCACATCTGGATTTACCCAGTAGGTGTGTTTTTTCGATTTTATGGCTTGAAACAATTGGACTGACCATTTTTTAATGGGAAAATTGCCGTTGGATGAAGTTCTGAGGGCAGAGTCACCATCACTGGGCGGCCAACCTCGGGTTCAACCATATGGCCCTGCACTTTTGCCTCATAGTCTGCTGAAGTGCTGCTGGAGCAGCCCATGTCGCAAACCCACAGAGTATCTACCTATGGTAGCACTGATCGTCGGGTTGCCCGACGATTCCTAAACATTTAACTGGGAGCCAGAGGAGATGCACAGCGAGATGCGAAACATGATTTTGTTGCAGGTCAATCGAAATCTAAGTGTGTGAGTTCCTGCAGACTTTGCATAGCATTGGCCACTTTGGGACAAAAGTAGAACTAGCTTCCATTTTCCTGCAAATTGGCGAATTTACCCTCCGGTTGACCAAACATGCCAATGGTAGTTCCATGTAATTCCCCTGTTTTCATCTGGTTTCCTTGGAAAATCAACGTGAAAATCATCGATCAATTGATACCACGGCAGTCCCACGGCAGTGCTTCGGAAAAAAAACAGTGCCATGTTCCCTAGAAATGCTAGAGATTGGATCCTTAATATACCCTCTGGTAAACTAACATAGCTATGGAAAATCACCATTTTTAATGGGAAAATCTACTATTAATGGCCATTTTCAATATCTACGTTAAATTACCAGAGGGTATCCATGTTTAACCCATGCCATCTAAATCATCTACTGCATATCTCCTAGCTTTAGTTGCTGGTAACACCATCCCGAAACAATCCAATGCCATCCATGAAAAAATGACATGAAAACCATCTCTAACTGTCCATATATATATATATAAATACGCCAAAACGTATAAAAATCATCCATCATAAATATGAAAAAAATATATTCATCAATCATTAGAGCCGCCAAAAAAACATTCAGCTGCTGTTCTGTGTTGGAAACAACAATGACCCGTTGCGCCCGACATATCATCCCATTATATCCCATTGTATTCCTAAGATATCACCATAATATCATCTTGGTAAACATCACTCAAAAATCATTATTATCACCATAATATCCTGGCAAATATCACCATAATATCACCATAATTCATCTTGGCAAATTCACCACACTCTAAAATGTGAAAGAAATATGTTGACAACTTGTCCGTCTTACGGATCAATCTTGGATGGCTTACAGATGTCGAATCGTCCAAATCTCATTTCAAATCAGAAAAATCAAACAATAAAAAGAAAAAACAACTTGTGAATTTGAGGATTCCAATCAAGATCAAAATCAAAAATCTTGCCAAATTCCCAAAAAATTGGGGATGATTTCCCCATAGCCACTTTACCCCAAACCCCTAACCACTTGCGGTGACCCTGCCTTGATGTCCATAGTTTCCAAGCGATCGCATTTGGCCACAGCCAGCACTACGCGAAGGCCTCCGTTGGTTTAACCCCAAATGAGCAATGTTCGAAACCCTGTGTCGTCCCTTCGCTGCGCACGGCCTTCGCCAGTTGGTTGATAGGGATTCCCCATTCATGGATTGTGATAATGGCGTCAGAAAGTGGAGTATAAAATCAACAATACTAAGATAAGCATAGATATGCAAGAGATGTGCTGGGATAGTGGGATAAACCCCTCTAAACCCTCAATCATTCATACTGGTTGAGAACAGGGTTACCAGACTGCTCAGGGGATTTTGACAACATAAATGGATATAAACGGGGGGATAAAACCAAGCATGATATATATATATATACTGGGATGCAATGGGACAAAATCAGATACAATCGGATGCAAATGGATGGGACAATGGGATATGAATGGATATAATATGATGTAATACAATATAAATGGATATGATGGGACATCAATAGACCCACAAATGGGCGACTTTACCCACATGCTCATTGTATGGAATATGTACCAACATTTACCCCAAAAGGTCATACAGTATGTTTGCCACTTTGCAGGGTTGATCGTTTTGACCTATACCCAGTTTCAATCTATCATTGGGGTCATCATTGCTATGACTGAACATGAGACCACCAAGCAGCTTGAAGCGAAAGTACTGTACTCAAACCCAGAGAGAGGGAGTACAGGTACAGTATGGTCATCCTAGTCGCTTCTCTGGATGTCAGCGGCCTCTGGAAATATAGGTGTCTTTCAAATACCTGCGGCAGCAATGTGACTCAGTCAAGTCAGGTTGCGTGACACCGCAGCAACAGGTGCTTGCCCATGTTGTAGTAGACTTCTTGGAGGTGTAGCAACCTATATATAAAGAGGATGTCAAAAAGTTGGACATAACTGTGGAAACAGTGGAAATGATGAAGAAAACGTCATATATATATATATATATCATTCTGGAAACACCTTTGGGCTTTTTGTTGCGGGGTTTAATACTATATGTGCATTTATATCGTCACTGGCCATGTGACATCAACCACACCCAAGGGCATGTTTACGCTTCACCCTCCTGAACGATACAAACAATGAGTTACCTGGAAGTAGAGATCATTGAAAATCAAATTTCGCCCGAAAACCAAGCTCCGCATCTCCTATCACTCGCTTTGTCTTCGGAAATCAGCTGTAAATTCCCCATGCTGGGACCCCCCGTTGGTCATACGAGTCATACGGATACGAGTACCCTGAGACCACGAAGGATCTCCCCGTTCAGACGAAGGGCTTGGCGACTTTCATGTCATCGTCAGTGACGCCCACATTACCATCTACCACCATGACCTAGGACGAGATCCTTTTCCTGGATCATCATCCCACCCGGGCCCAGTGGAGAAACCCTGGTTTTTTACGAAGTCCTCCAAGGGTTTCCATGGTTTTCCATGGTTTTCCCATTTATAAATGGCTTATAATCCCAGTTACTAACCTGTTTATAATCCAACGGAATCGATGGCGTTTTGATCTGCTATCCACATGCGAACCCAACGGAATATCCGGGCTTTTCTCAAAATGGAATCTACATCGAAATCACCGGCTTATAAAGAGGACAATGTTCTAAGATCGATTCCAAAGCATATAAAGCATGTATTGTTTTGGGTGCCAAGCAAATTTCGGACAAAACTCAGATATCACAATTTTAGAATATTCACATCTCAAAATCATCATAAATCATCGCACTACCTGTGGATTTACCAACGGAAAAACCCAGCTCACCGTGATTCCCAAGAGGCGGCAGCACAAGCTTCGCGCAGCGCTACGTCGATTTGAAATTTGATTTCCTTCGCAAAGGTCACCGTTTCCTGCTGCGAGCGCCCGGCGAGCGCCCGGGAAGACCCCCGGCAGGGACGGGTCGGACTTTTTTTCTGGAAAAGGATCCGAGCAGAAGGACGAAAATGTCAGTTTTATGGTGAGTGAATTGCTTTGAAATTTTGAGTTGTGCATCCCATCTACAGACAGCCACCGAAATCGGTGCCGGAACTGATGATGTTCGTGCCAGCTCGCGATGTTCAAGTACCAAAGCGCTAAACCGTGGCAAAGCCAATAAAGAAGTTCGAAATAGTCTACCATAAATGAGTTGTTTTAACCGTCCCCAAATGGGAAAAAAAATCAGTAGTGGATTTTCCAAAGGGAACAGCTTGTAAGACGCAGCAAGCTGCACGTCACGGCTTTGTGTCACAAAGGGAGTAAACTAAAGGCTGGAATGCAAGGCAAGTTGAGTGTGCAGCACAGACTATATATATATACAGTATACGCCACCTCCTTCTTTCATTTGGTTGTCAAACCATCGATGTTTTTTCATGTGCAGCGGGACGCCACAAGGAAAAAGGAAGGAACAAGCAGAACAAAGCAACTTTATTTCCAAACATGGAGGTTTCCCAAAATAGGGGTACCCCCCAGTTATCATCCATTTTAATAGGATGTTCCATTCAAAACCATCCAGCTATTGGGGATTTCCCTTTTTGGGAAACTCTCCATGGGCCCTCACCGCTGAGCCAAGCTTCCAGGGAATCTTCGAAGACCAGACCGCCTGCATCGATGACGTCGAAGAGGTAGGTATCTCCACCTTGGTTCATCCAGGGAGCGGGTCATCCATGGGGTTTTTACACCCCGGAATCTCGGGTCAGATCTAAATGGTGAACCATGGTCCCATCCAGAAGGGAAGAGAAGGGAAGACCTTGATGACTTGAGGATGGCTTGAAACTCTTGGTATCTCTTGGTCTATTAGATCAAGATTGGACACTTCAACTATCTTCAACTGCTATTCATTGAAATGTCTGCCCCCCCAAACAGATGCCCAGTGGATCTACCTCTCCGCCCAGTGGCAGTCATCGGTATGCTCAGCCGGTTTGTAGGTGCGGTCGTGCGTCACATTGACCTGGACGTTGCATGTTCCGTGGCTGTTCTTCGGAGCCTGTTCCGAAGCCCGAAAGTTCAATGATAATCTGATGATGATCAGATATCCCATTAATACCCCAACAATATCCCAACAATATCCCAACAATATCCCATTAATATCCCATTAATATCACATAAATGAATATCCCATTAATATCCCATTAATATCCCGTTCTTCAAAATGGTGATTTGTTGACCACTTCGCTCTGTTACATAACCAGAGGAACAAAATTTCGCTGCAGGCCTCCAGGACCCTGTAAACAATCCACATCCACCCAAAAGAAAGAAAAAGGAACAAGTTATATAACGTTATCAATTGTAATTCAGAATCACTATTTTCATGGGATTTTATACTTGTCTAAATCTTTTGGGGGCTTACTATTTCAATGGGACAACGTCGTGATCACAAGTCCTCGCTTCCCATTGCTGGAAGAGCTGCCCTAGCGGCAATTTAAGGCATCAACCGGCACATCTTAGATACCCTGGAAAAAAAAATCATGTGGGGAAAACAATGCCATAAACCATCCCCCAAATCACCATGTGAAAAGCTGCAAAAAAAAACATTCCCAGTCATGGCTGGTAAAAATGGCATTGTTTTACCCACATTAGCTGATTAGGTGAATATTGACCCAGCAAAAGATCAAGCACTACTAGTCACTATCCAGTCAGTTGCCCAGCTTATAAAGGCTTCTTTTTCCTCGGTGGTCACCTCCAATCCCCCATCCCCTTCGCCTCATCGTGAGTAATGCCACCGATCACATCTGGGATGTCACAAATGCGATTCACCAGGGTTGATTTTCCCACCTGAAAATCTGAAAAAGGCGTCGAGTCACGGCCGCCCTTTAAAAAAAACAAACAGGATTCAGCCATGGTTTTGCTGAAAGTGAGGATTA